GCCCCAGCGCAGCTCCGCGGGCCTGGAGCGCGGCGGGGTCTTAATATGCCCAGACCCGAGGCGCGATGAAGGAGAAGTCCAAAAATGCGGCCAAGACCAGGAGGGAGAAGGAAAATGGCGAGTTCTATGAGTTGGCCAAGCTGCTCCCGCTGCCGTCGGCCATCACCTCCCAGCTGGACAAAGCGTCCATCATCAGACTCACCACGAGCTACCTGAAGATGCGCGCCGTCTTCCCGGAAGGTGAGGCCTCGGGTGGGCGGCCGCTCGGGCTCCCCGCCGGGGACAGCGCGTCCGCGGGGGCTGCGCCGGGGCCGGGGCCGGGGCGCCCAGGCGGTGGAGCCATCCCTCGGCCCGTGGCAGAGCAGTTGCAACCCAAGAGTTGTTTCAGGGGCCGGCGGTGCCCCGCCGACACAGCCAGCGGTTCTCTTTCCCTCCGCGTTTGCATTTTCTTCCGCTTTTCTTTTCTTCCTGCCTCTGTCAGTCTCCTTTTCATCCTCTCTTATCGTTCTTCCTCCTCCTCTTCATCTCCTCCTCCTCTCCTCCACTTCTTCCTCCTCTTCTCGTTTTCTTCCTCTTCTTTCTTCCTCCTCAGACTCTCTATGTCCCTCCACTCCTGTTCGTCTCCGTTGTTTTGTTTCCCCTCCTCTCCTCTCCTCCCTTCGCCCTTCCTTCCTGTAGCTCTCCTTCTGCTTCTCCTTCCTCCGTGACTTGCTGGCGTCCCTGTTTTCCTGGGGAGGTGGAGGTGCCCGGCAGCGGGGAGGCCGGGGCGCCGCGGGCTCCGGGCTCCGGGCTCCGGGTCGGTCCCCTTCCCAGCGAGCGAGCGAAGATCGAGGTCGGGTGGAAGACCGGAGCTGGGTGAGCCGGGACGCCGCGGGGGAGAGAAGCGAGGACCCCGGGCCGGAGCGGGGCCCGTTCTGGTTCCGGATCGGCGGAGGGCGGCGGGGCCCACGGCGCCCCGAGAGGCGTCCGCGGGAAGAGGGCGAGCGCGGGTCGCGGACACGGTGGGGTTGCGGGTGGGCTCTCCCAGCCCAGCCTCTGCCCGCCTGAGCCGGGGACGGCGGGCCCCGAGCGGCGGGCCCGCGGGGTGCACCGGGGACGCGGCAGGATCTCCAGGCCGTGGAGCCTCGAGGCCGCGTCGGCGTCCGGAGCCGTGCGCGGGAGCCAAGCCGCGGGGAGACGCAGCCGCCGCCGCGCGCTCCGCCCGGAGAGGGTTGCGGGTCGCGGGCGGACGGGTGACAGGTGTCCCGCGGCCCCGGCGCAGCCCGCGGCCGGCCGCGCGGTCGCCCCGGAAGCCGCACGCTCTCCCGCGTCCGCCCCACGCTCGCTCGCTTCTCGCTCTGAAGTTGCGTTTTCCACCCTCTCCCTCCGACCCGGCCTGGCGCCGGCTGCGGCCTCGGCTCTCCAGGCCCGCGAGCCTGGGAGCGATCGCCGCCGGACTCGGAGCCCCCAGAACCAAGGGCGGCCTCGAAGGGGGTCCCCCCTCGCCACAGCCGGGCTGTGCGCTCCCCTCCTGGGCTCCGGGTGGGGGGCCCGGCGCGCGTCCCCGGGGCCCCCTGCCCCAGCCGGGCCGCCGGGGGTGGCTGGCCCTGGCGGGTCGCTTATTCGCCCTCTCGGTCCCTGGCCCGCAACGTAGAGGGAGCCCTCTGCTGCCGGCGTTTTCAGCGGAAATGCACGTGGAATCTGGTGTCCTCGGGCTGCGCGTCTCCTTCCCACCCGGGGCACGGGGTCGTGGGAGTGCCCGCTGGGCCGCGCGCCCCCTCCGCGTGCTACAAAATCAGGTGTGGAACCGGACCGGGCGCGGGGCGCGGCCTCCCCGGCCCCCTGCTGTGCGTGGCTTGGTTTTTGGTTTGTGTCAAAGCAAAAAGAATAAATGGTGAGAAGAGTAAAGCATTGGTTGTGAAGGATCCCGAATGCGGCTGAGCTGACCCTCGGGAGAGGGCTACCCAAAGAGGAACGCACAAGCCATGCTGGCTTGGGAAAGTTGCCTGGGAAGGCTGCTAAAAAGAAAAATCGAGAAGTGTCTTACGTGTTCTCCCACAGGACGCCGGCTGACATTGGCCTGGGGTGCCTGCGGGGTCCGGTGTGCGCGCGGGCTCCTGGCTGCGGGGTGGGAGGCTTGCTGGGCTGTGTTCAGAGCCGTGTTCGGGGCTTCCCTCCCCGCGGAGCGGCCAGCTCCCTCTTCCCAGAGAATAACGCGGGAGACTCTGGCTTTGGCTTTCTGGAAATGGCTCTAAACCTGTGGCGTCTAACTGGGGGAAGAGGGTCAACTTCTACCCCCCACCCCCACCCCAAGCCCACTTCCTGCAGAGCCGCTGTCCGGGCTGGAGGAGCTGTCCGTTCTCTTGGAGCTGGCGGTGTGCGGGGCTGAGTTGTAAATCTGAGAGTCCAGGGCAAAGAGAAGATGCGTCTAGAAAAACCTCCATTTTGCAAAGTGACGTCCTTGCCTAACTTGAGGAACTCTGTGGTGGGAGCACAAGGGGCCCCTTCATGGATTTAACTTGTTCTTAGGGATCCCAGATTTACTCTGAGCCTGGTGAAGGCAGTAGCCCTACTGCGATTTTAGAATCAAGGCCAGCCTGAGCCGGGACAGGAACCCGAAAATCGCTGGAACCCCCAAATCGCTCCCAGCTTCCAAAGGGAGAGTTATTGAGTGGCACCCACCTGCCAAGGGAGGTTTTACCCAACCTGGCCCAAGTAGGATCTTGGGTAAAGAAGAATCTAGAGACAATTTTAGGACTGTGGGGGTTAGAAAATGAGGAAGGGTGGGAATCATCAGACCAACCCTCACTATCAGAACAACCCGAGTGGTGCCTGCCTTCTCCAGGCCGAGGCCCAACTCAGAGGGTCTGCTGCCCAGCAAAAGGGAGTTCTCTGATTTGGAGAATGCTTGGGTTTTTTTTTTACAGGTAGTTTGGAGGTTCTGCTGTCACCTGGTGTTGCTCAACCTCATTCTTTGTAAAATTAGTGGATTTTGGGTTCTACACGTTGTATGTGGGTGCACGTGTGCCCCCCACGGGAAGATCTTGGGGCAGAGGAGGGAATCTATTCAAGTCACTCTGTCCTGCAAACTCCCGGTGTTCACGGGCACCAGCGGGGGTGGGGGGAGCTTTTAAACAAGGAGAGGGTGGATTTCCACCTTACTCTAAAAGCCCGCTGTTTTCTGGGTGTCCATTTTCTCTTTCAACATTGATCTGAGAACCCAGAGTTCGTCAGGGTGTGGAAGAGAGCTAGTGAGCAACAAGGTCTGGAAATGGAAACCTGGGGTGAGGCGGAGAACGGGAGAAGGCATTGAACAACTCGGTAGTTAGGCTTAACGGACTGCACCCAGCCGCCCAGGGCTCCAGAGCCCAGAGCAGGCAAACTGGTTGCTCCCGGACCGGACCATAGGCACTGTGGGCACACTGCCTGGGCCACATCAGAGAGGGGCAGCGTTGGTTTTCAGCAGCCCTCCCCCACTCATTCGCCAGAATACCCCTAGATCTGAGGTTTGGGGGCAGGATGTGGCACTTCCCTGTGGACCTCCCGATCCTACAACTAACTGTCAGGTAGTTGGAAACTCAGGCCTCGGGTCCTTTCCCCTTGAGACCCTTCTCCAGGGGACAGACCTGAAACACCCTGGAGCGGTGAGGGAGGGAGGGAGCACACCATCCCAACCTTTACTTAAAAGCAGAAAACTCTCTTTCTCTATCCTCACACACACAGACCAACTCCCAGGCTGAAGTATTCCAGTAGCTGAATTCCTCTAGGTTTCCCTTCCAATACGGCACCCCTTTTATGTCCCTGCCTGGTGTGGTGGGAAGGAGCCAGATCGATCGGGGATTCTTGGCTGAAGAATCGTAGCGCTGGTTTGTGAGGTGACAGGCATCTAACGCGGCAGAGGAGACTCTAGAGCCGCAGGCTTTTCTTAGGCAGTCCCAAATCGTGTTTTCTAGCACGGAGGCTCGCGTTTGTAGATTAATATACTTTCATCCCAGCTCCCCCCCCTCCTTTGAAGCTGCCAAGGTGTGGAATGGGCTCTGGAAGGCATAGCTCAGGCCCGAAGCCCACCCTTGCCCCTCAGTGTAGTGCTGAAGGCGGCCTTGGAGCAGGGCGCACACCACGCACCCAGTGGCACACGGGATAGAGGGCAACACCCCGCCCCACACCCTGAGCTCCTCCTGGCAGCTGCATCCGTATTTCCCAAGTGTATGTGACCATGCGGGTGCATTGACCCAGTCTTAAGCCGCCTCCGCTCCCTCCCTGGCCCAATTGGTTAGTGGGGGCTCTTCTTGCCTATCTAGCAGCCCTTTACACACCTCCACATGCTCTTCTGCTTCTGGGTCAATTGATTAAAACCAGGACGTTTTTGAGGGGCTTGGGAGAGAACAGAAAAGGTAAGGCCTGAGACAGACTGGTATGGTCTGGGGAACCCCCAAATCCTGATGATTTACAGGGGTCCTAGAGCATCAAGAAGGTAGCCCCAGCCCCCAACTCCCCCCACGACACCCTCTAATGGGCTTGCCCAGTGCGGCAGCCCTGATGGGAGCCCTCCCCCAGCTCACCCACCCTGGAGGCCTGCCGGCCGAGGCCCGGTGGCTTTCGTGGGGTAGGTGAGATCTAGGTGGGCAGCTTGCACAGAGGCCTGGCATGCATTTGGATGGAAGAAGGAGAGCACCCAGCAGGCCCTGCCTTCTCTCTCCCTCTTCACACTCTCTTGACTTGGCAATGCTTTGCCAGCGTTTGCCACCTGGCGTCCACAGTGGCTTGCAACAGGCCAGAGGTCACACTCCCCATGAACCCCTAGCCCTCCAGGAGTGACAGCATAGCCTGCAAGCAGCCACTGTCCAGTTTAGAGCCTAGAAGTGAAGATTGGAGCACCGGCTGGAGATCTGGTCCTGCAAAGTGGCTAAGAGGAAGGAGCCGGACACGGGCTCAAGTGGTAGAGCACTAGCCTTGAGCACAAAAGCTCAGACTGTACCCAGGGCTCTGAGTTCAAGTCCCGGTGCTGGACACACACACACACACACACACACACACACACACACACTCTCCCCTGGAGGAAAGGGAGGCTGCTTCTGTTGGGAGGGATCCTGAGCTTTTTGTGGTAGGGTGAGGGTGAGGACAGCCCTTCCCTGGTGTTGAGGCCATTTGTTTTCCATATAAATGGGGTGCGACCTGGGAGGAAATGTGCGCATCTTGACATTTCCACCAAAATCAGGGCCCTAACTCTCGAGGCAGTAGCCAAAGTCCTGGTGACAGGGGTCCTGCTGACCCATCCAGAAGAACTCTGAGTCCCACCCTCCTCATCCTCACATTTGAATGGGGCAGCAGAGAGAAAAACCATCTCCCCTTCTCTCAAACGCTCTTATTTCCGGGTCCCGTGTTTGGGTCTGTGGCCTACATCTGCAGATGTGTCCAGAGCCTGTGGCTCATGAGCTGTTTGTTGACCGACCAGCCAAGTGGCCCAGAGTGGAGCCGTCACACTGCGCTTCTTGTGGAGGGAATATCTGAGGTTTCAAATCATAGCAATCAAGAGTGTGGTACAAGCACCAGCACCCCAAAGCCTGGGCAGCAAGAGGGGAAGGAAGTGACAGAATCGGTGTTTGAGCTCAGCTCCTCTTACCTCAGTTTCTCCCTGTGGCTTTCTACAACCTTGGTTTTTCCTGGCTTTCAGAAGCCCAGGGGTCCCCAGCTTGTCCTGTCAGGAAAATCTAACTCGGGGTCCCCAGCGGCTCCAAAGTCCTCCCTGCTACCCCAGGAGAATCTTTACCTATAGGCTTGTAGGCTCTCCCCCTTTGGTTAAATAAATCTCTTTTTGGTCTCACCCTGGACTCACAGGCCAGGCCCCTGACTTTTTGCCTTTTGCCAGTGAGTCACACTTTACAGTATCAAGACGATTCTTTCTGTCACAACCTTTTCTTTATTCTGTCTCCACGTTCAGCCCAGAGCAGATTTTTTTTCACGGGCTGAATGCAAAGCCCTTGCCACAGCGGCCGCTAACGCAAGAGTTGGCAGGGCCCAGGAGAGCAGCTGGGGAGGGGTCTCAGCAGCCCCCTTCAAGCCAGATCTGCAGAGCCCCAACTCTGCCTGTGAATGGAGGCATGCTGGGAAGTTACCGAAGAACCAGCAGCTTAAAGGAGTCTCTTGAAGCGGATGGAAAACTCTTGGGTTGCAGCAAAGCTACTGCAGGGCTTTCCGCACTGGTTTTCTTTTGAAAGAGTCCAGCAGAGGTGTCTGTTTTAGGGGGGATCATTTCCTGGGTGAAAATTCCCCCAGCTCACTGGCTCTCCCAGGTGGGCACTCCCTGAACCCCTGTACCCCTCCGTGGGGCCTAGAGGCCAGAGAGAGCAATGTGGGCACCTCTCCCTACTCAACTCCTTTATAAATTAGTTCTCAAGTTTCACTTTTCCCCTTGCTGTTGAAATGGAATAAAGGCGGCCTCCACCATCTGACTGGAACTGAGTCTGAGGGCGCCCCTCGTGCTGCTGGGCGCAGGGTGGCCATGCTTGGGTTTTCTGTGGTTAGGGTTCAGGTTCGGGTTCGGGTTAGGATTTTCTGCTGCGGTGGAAGTGGAGGGGCTTCGAGCGGCGAGCGGCGTAGGTTAGGAGAGATTGGAGAGTAGACATTAGCTGCTACGTGGGGAGACCAGAGCCAGCCCCAGATTCCCACCGTCGTCCATCCAGCCCCAGAAATAAAAAGTCATTTTTCTTTTTGTAAGCTTCCCAGCAGTAGGAATGTCTACCAAAGCCTCTGATTTGTCTCCCGGAGTGGAGGCGGCCAGGGAGCCCACGCAGGGTGGGGGAACCCATTCCAGGCTGCCCACTTGAGGGTGCTTCCTGCACCCCAGAGTCTCGGTGGCAGGGGAGCCTGACGTGGCGGCAGGCTGGGCTTGCACCCCTGTTCCCCGATGATCCTCACCCACAGGAAGTGGTGGCAGGTGAGGATGAGGTGTCAGAGACACCCTGGGGTCACCTGCAGGTAAACAGCCGGGGTGGTGGACAGACGCTGAGCCACTGCCCAGCAGGGTGGAGAGTTCTCTGCGATGGGGGCTTCTCGCACAGGCCAGACAGCTTTGGCCGAGACTGGGGGTTGGTGGTCTAGCCCCCACATCCGCTTCTGCAGGCTTCCGCACTTCCTCCTTGGTGGGTCTTGCTGGAGAAAGCCCAGGCTCTCCAGGGCCACAGCGGCTGGCCCAAGGGTGCAGGGAGAGAGGGGGAAGGGAAGGAGGGAGGGACAAAAGAGGGAGGGAACGTTATGCTTGGTTCTCTTTTACTGGGTGCAATTTTGCAACCCAAGGTGGCCTTGGAGAAGTGGGGGTTTGGAGTCCTAAGGGGCCCAGTGGAGAAGCCGAGGGCCCTGATTGTTGAGAGCAGACAGCGCCTGCCCGTGGTCCGACCATGTCCTCCTCCCCGCCATTGCTGCTAGGTTTAGAATTTGCCCTTAGGAAGTCCCACCCAGGCAGGAGCTCTGGGGTGGGAAGTGAGGGGGCAGAGCTCCTGGAGAGCCTGCTTGAAGACCTTTTTCTACTCTCCTGTCCCAGAAGGGAGGCAGAGAGAGAAGGTTGTCGGGGATTAGGGGTCAAATCGATCCCCTCCACTGGCTTCCAGGATGGTCAATTTCAAAGCAAATTAGATTACTTTGTGGCATTTCCAATCAGACAGCACTGTCAGCGCTGGGGAGCACGTGGGGCCCCCCATGGGAGCTCCGGCCCGGGCCAGGCCAGAGTTCTCCGAGGAAATTCCTCCTCCAGCCACGGATGGGGTGCAGACGGCCATGACCTGCGGGCTGCGGGCAGAGGAGACTGGGAGCCTTCTTCTGTGATCTGGTGTGTGCAGCGCAGAGGTCTTGCGTGTGGCTGGCTTGTGAGGTACTCGGCCTCCGGCTGGGCGCCGCTGTTTACTGTGTTTTATTTATTTCCTCGTCTAGGTTTAGGAGATGCATGGGGCCAGCCCAGCCGGCCAGGGCCCCTGGACAGTGTTGCCAAGGAGCTGGGGTCTCACTTGCTGCAGGTAAAGCCAACTGGGGAGGGGCACTCGTACCCCTGGGTGGGACTTAAGTCTTTTCAGACCGACCTTCTGGCTGTTTGGGAACTCAGAAAGCAGGAACCTCACACTCAGCCTTGGGCCATTGTGTGTGTTTGCAGAGGTTATACTGAGGCAGAGACAGTGCCAAAAACGGAATAATGACAGTACTTGTTGGTGTGTGTGTGTGTGTGTGTGTGTGTATCCATTGGGGCAGGAACTCAGGGCCCTGGTACTTTCCCCTGTCATTGAAGGCTGGTGTTCTACCCCTTGCTCAAGTGGTAGCTCCACTTCTGGCTTTTGGGGGGTAGTTAATTGGAGATAAGAGTCTCAAGGGCTCTCCTGCCCAGACTGGCTTGGCACTGAGATCCTCAGCTCTCAGCCTCCTGAGTAGCTAGGATGACAGGCGTGAGCCACCACCGCTCAGTACTTGAGTTTTCTCAAAGCCAACTTCTTTTCAAAACATCATCCTTTGACTCCATCACTCACCTACGGTACGTTCTATTTTTTTTTGTGGGGGGGAGGTCCGGTCGTGGGGCCTGAACTCTGGTCCTGGGCGCTGTCCCTCAGCTCTTCAGCTCAAGGCAAGCGCTCTACCACTTGAACCACAGCACCACTTCTGGCTTTTTTTCTTTTTGCTTATGTGGTGCTGAGGAATTGAACCCAGAGCCTCATGCATGCAATGCAAGCGCTCTACCATTGATCCACCTTCCCAGCCCCAGTACATCCTATTTTTTTAACTCCATTTTATTCTAAGAAACAAGCTGAGACTCAGGGAGGTTTAGCGGAGGGCTCCCGGGCTCCCGGGGGGCTCAGAGGCCACCTGGGCAGGTTGTAGGACCGGTTTGTGAGAGCCTGTTGCGTTTTCACAGAAGGCAAGGAGGAGGCTCACTGGGCACCAAAGGCCACTTCCAGATCAGTGGCCCATGCCAGCTGGCAACCAACATCTCATCAAAGACCCAATTCGTTTCCCCCTCGCTGTGTGTCCCGGCAGCCACAAATGCCTTACCTAGAGAGAGCGACTTTGCATTTCCTCCCTCTATTTTATGCTTTCGTTAAAAAAAAAAAAAGTTGGCTGCAGGCTTGGTGACTGAGCTGGTAAAGCAGCCCCGAGCTGTGCGTTTTGGGTGAAAAGAAACCAAACAGATTTTTCCCCCCAAACTCACTTGCCCCAAATGTCTAGGTGTGATTGGTTTTATAAATGCGGGCGCTGGAAGCGACAGGGGCTCTCTGAGCCCCTCTGGCCGCTGCCAGGCGCTTGCTCCCAGCCCTGGAGTGTTTCACAGTCCCACAGATTATAAATGACACTAATATCAAGGACTACAAAGTGCCAGGAACTTCAGTGAAAACCCGGCGGGTAAAGTCAACACCCCCCACGTCCCCACTGTACATTTAATTAATTCCGGAGATGGCTGTATTATAGATGGAAGCGAATTAGGTCATTCAGAGCTACAAGAGCATACTCCACTTTTTTCCCATTAAGAACTTTATTCTTGTTATTATTATTATTTTAGCTACTGCCAGCAGCTTTTAGGATTTAATTAGGACAGTTTCTCCACTCATTTTCCTGCATATTGGGAGAGAGAGATTTCCTCTCACACATCTCTTTAATGATTTTGACACAAAATGTGTCAACAGATGTAGGCTTTTGAAAGTTGCCTTATAGCTTATATTTCTGAGATGTTTATATAGTTTATAGTTTATATTTAATAAAATTGCCTTATAGTTTGTATTTCTGATAGTTGCTGGGAAAATACTTTGTAGTTAAGTTAGAAACCTGCAGGCAAGTAAGGTTTATAGCCAGAATGTTGCTTTCAATCTAAGCAAAAGCAAAGGTAAAAAATAAATAAACAGAAAAAATTAACAAATTGTATTTAGGCAGCACTGTGTGTAAGAATATCTTCAGTTTCACATCTACCGCATCTTTACCTGTCCCCCTTTCAGAGGGGGTTTTTAGGAAGCACAAAGGTGATCTCGTTCTGATTAGATACTGTAAAAATAGTTTGTAGCCAGAAATTTGGAATATTTTTATAGGTACAGTACTGTGGCTTGTATAGGTTTTTTAAAAAATTACTTTTCTTTAGTATTGAATCTAAAATATGAATGAATAAATAAATACTTAGTGTTTTTATCCTTGACACATAACTATAGCCATGCCTTTTAGTTTCTGAATCTCCTCTCTTTAATTTCCACTTTCTTTTTTAGAGAGTTAGGAAGATTGAGGCAAAAAAAAAAAAGTTCTCATTTCACTGGAGTAGTGTTAAGTTTTCCAGAAATCGCTACTCTTTCTCCTTGAATTTAGCCAAGGTTATTTGATCTCGTACAAAGTCTACATAGTTAATATTGTAGACCTAAGTCTGGTAAAATCTTTGACTATTTTGTTTTATTTTCTAGGGAGTGGTGGGAATTTATTATTCCAATGGTACGTAGGGGTAGCTAGGAAATTGTGGCACATTAGGTGATGTCCTCATGGTGCAAATGATTGCCAATTACGACGTTAAATGGTTTATAGAGGGGCAGATGTTCCCCTAAGAACCATAGAACTCCGGATTTGTACTGAGTGCTCAAATAAGCCCAAACTATAAAGCTCCTCCACGCCACAGTGAGTGCGCTAGGAACTCTCCCGTGCTTGGCATGATTTTGTGATGTGGATGTGAGACTGTTTTTCAAAGTGCTTTAAAAGCATTTGAGAGTCTGGCCTGGGAAATGAACCTCAAGTATGTAAGGCTGCCTGCAGCTCTCCTGGCTCCGGCTCCTTTTTTACTGTATGTTAACAAGTGTGTGTGTGCACGTGTGTGTGGAAATAAGACTGGATGTGCATGTGTGTATAGATCTATGCATATACACATACACATGCAAGTGTGTATAAAGAGGGATACGTGTGTCTACACATATACACATATATACACACGTATACAAGCATATATGTAAATAAGTATATGTACCCAGGTAGCCAGGGGTGGCCAGGCTAAGCACGCAATGCACCACGGAGCTCCCTCACAGCCTGTCCTACTTAATGAGGGTGGAGAGCTACCCTCACTCCCCCTGACACTGTTTTCTCTCTACAGACTTTGGATGGATTCGTTTTTGTGGTAGCGTCTGATGGCAAAATCATGTACATATCCGAGACGGCGTCTGTGCATTTAGGCTTGTCCCAGGTAAGTAGTGTCTGTACACAACCAAAATATTCAACTGAGTGTCTGTGGACGGGACAGCCTTCCAACCTGAACAGCCATCTTTTGAAACCTCCCAGAGTGCTCTGCTCAGGATGACCCTTTGCCTGGGGGAGAGGGGGGCAAAGGAGGGTTGTTTCTCCTTTGTGGCTAATGGCCAGTGTGTCTGAACCGTCATCAGACTTCTAGAGTGTTCTGGGGCCCACTGGCTTGTCAGCTTGCGTGATGATCTTGCTCGCCCAGCGCGGGGATTGGACACGGGTCCTCAGTCCACACAGGCGGCCACGTTGCTATGAAGTGGAGGGAAGCTTGCGGAGGCCTTGGGTGTGAGGCCCCGCGTGTCTGGGAGATGGGAAGAAGGGATAGATTTATGAGTGTTCACATGGCATTTGGGGTCATTTTTCCTGAGTTTTTTCCAGCTCAGTGGTTGTTTCAAGTAAAGCATTTTATAAGCTTGTGATAGAAACTCATAAAACTCAGTTTACTACTGTTTTGTACCCCAAGGTCCTGGTTTCTTTAGACCATCTCCATATTACCAAATTTCCCAGCAAAGTGGAGCCATCATCCCTCAGAGGAAAGAGGTGGGACCGGTGTGTCACCAGGGCTTAGAAGCTTGTTCGTGCGTCTCTGGGGAGAGGCTGGGTTGTCACGTCTGATTTCGCTGGTGCCGATGGTGCGGCATAAAGTCATGCTTTGTTTTTAAAGATTAAAAAAAAAATTAATTGGCAAAAAAGAGAAGACAAAAATGTCACTTAAAAAAATAGATGAAGGGAATAAATGTTTCTTTCTGTTGTGAGCTCTCGGTCTGCCTTCCCCTGACAACGGAGAACACAGCGCAAGTAATGACAAGCACCAGAGAGTGGGTGGTGGAACACATGGGATCGCACAGCGCTCGCCTCCTCCGCTCCTTAAGCCAAAAGAAGGCAAGGGCTCTCAAGGGGTCTCAAGGGGTCTCAAGGTCTCTCAAGGTGTCTCATGTGGCTGGAGTTTTTGCACTGAAAAGCAAAATCACTGAATTTAGCAACCCACGTAAGACGGATTCCTTTCAGGTTTCTGCCAGCACATTTAAACCAAACAGCAAACAAAACCAAGGTCACCTCGCGCTGCCCCACCTTCTCCTCCCAGGTCTATCGTCCACTTTGTCTGAATGGTTAACGTTTCTCTTTCCTCATGCGATGCCAAGTGACTCGGGCCCAAAATCATTTGAACGTTTCTTTTCTCTTCCTCTTTCCTTTTCTTTTTTACTTTTCAAATAAGGGTTTACTAAGGCTTGACTCTTGTACTCACAGGACTCATGGGTGAATATTTGTTGAATGAGAATGAACGTTGAGAATATGAAGTTTACTGTTTCTGTGGGGTCACAGGAGAGATAGCCCGGTGGTAGAGCACAGGCCTGGCATGTAAAAGGCCCTCTTTCTGTCTTTTACTATTTCTCTATTTTCTGTGGCTATGATACCTTGATTTGTTATCTTGCCCTATTTAGAATTAATTAGGATCCTTTAGTTTTATCCAGACTGATTTCTTCTGACTAAATCTGACAAAAATGACTTTGGCTGGATTATTTACTCCTTTTTTTTCTTTTCTGGTGGTTTGAACTCAGGACTTCTCAAATTGCTTGGCGGGTACTCTATCACGGGTGCCACACCTCCAGTTCTGATTTTTGTTTGCTATTTTAGAAATGGAATCTTAAGGACTTTTCTGCCTGGTTTGGCTTTGAACCTTGATCCTCTAGATACCAGCCTCGTGAGTAGTTAGGATTACAGAGGCACAAACTGCTGACACCCGAAAGATGATTTACTTTAAAAAATTATAATTTACAAGAGCGTCACAAACATTTCACTTGTTTCCCAGATGACTAGTCAGAAATCTTTTTAAGATAAATAAAGCCACTGTTGTTGAACATCAATGTTAGATCTCCAGCAGTCAGACGGAAAGGATCCGTTCTATAGTTGTCTCTGTCTGACAAGGCAGATACTTGATATCCTGGAACCATGATTTAAATAATAAACGAATTCCTGTTACATCCTCCTTTCATGATCATGGTAAGGAGAAGATCAAGGAAACTGTTTTATGTGTTTTGTACCCGATAGTGAGCCACATAGCAGGCAGAGAGGCCACAGTGTGAGGAGAACACAGTTGCTTGCAGAGTTCTCTCCGGGCGTGGGTGAGGCTGGCCCTGTCCCATGCCCGGCCCTGTCCAGTGCCCGGCCCTGTCCTGAGGTTGTCTCAGCCAGGTGGCTGGTCTACCGCCCGTCGTCTCTGCCATTTCTCTCTGTTAATGTGGGCTATAGCGGGGACCGAGTCTGAACGCGGTCATTAAGAACCTCCACCTTCTAGGCGAGGTGGCAGATCCCTGCTTCTCATTAACTCCCCAGAAGGAAAATGAGGCAGCCTGGCGAATAAAGATCACATTTCCTTTCGATTGCACACAGAAATCAAACTTGTTATCACCAGCAGGAGCCATGCACTACCATTTTCCAGAAAGTTCTGCAGATAGGATTATTTTGTTTTTGTCTCTGTGTCCCCAGAAGAAGTGTTCCTTTAAAAAAGAAAGACTGGTTACACAGAGTAACTGATTTCTTCTGGATTTTTCCGTGGGCCTCTGTAAGAATCCTGAACGGCTGAGGTACGTTCCTTAGCATGGTTGGCAGTGTCCAGCAGTGAACTGTTTAAATAAGCAGCGACTGGCTCTCCATGCCCTATTCTTCCTGTCCACGGCCGAGCCCGCAGAAGCTAATCTAGACAGAATCACCATGTGCATTTTTCCTGTCTCCTTGACTTAAATTGTGAAATAAAGTATTGAATCAGATGCCAAATACCCAACTGTTCTTTTTTAAAAACATGTTTTATGCCTTTCAGATTCGTTTAGTTATTAGCAAACATTCAGACAGAACACATCACATCTGAAAAACTTTTTTTTAAAAAATAGGCTTTATTTTTAAACAAAATCACCAGAGATCAAAGTGTTGAAGACTAGGGGGTTGTAGTGGACTGCTAGCCTGGTGTAAAGTTGGTTTATTTCCCCCCTGAAAGGAGAAAAATGTTGTGTTAATAAAAATGTGCCTGAAAATAATAAGTAAGTAAATAAATAGGATGTGTACAGTATGTAGAGTAACCCTGTGAGTAGGTATGAAAGGGTAAATAGGATTTCAGGAATAGCGTGTGTTTTACATGATGCGTCTCTGGGTTCTAAGAATTTCTACTCGCTCTCAATCATGTGACCTCTGAAGCCGGGCTCCAGGTTCGTGTGGAGTCAAGTTCAGCTCTGCACCACAGTCATGAGGAACAGAAATTCACCAGCAAGGGGGAGTTGCTCCATTTTATTCTGCTTCTGTTCTGAACCCTCTAAGTAGCTCTCTGGATGATCTCTTTGAGGGCATAAAATAACCCTGTGTGCATTACAGCCCATCTCCACGAAAGCCTCCTGTTGAAGTTTTTTTTTTTTTTGGCAAGTATTGGAATAAGAAATCTCTACCACTTTTCAGGGGCGGAGTTTGTTTTGGTCTGTGTGTGCGTGTGTGCGTGCACACACTCATATGCACACGCACACGCACGCCAGTACTAGGGTTTAAACTCAAGAACTAGACCCTGTCATTTAGCTTTTTTGCTCAAAGCTGGCACTCTACCACTCAATCCATACCTCCACTTTTGGCTTTTTGGTGATTAATTGGACATAGGAGTCTGTGGAAGCCAGTAATCTTAGCCACTCAGGAGGCTGAGATCTGGGGATCACAATTTATAGCCAGCCCAGGCTGTGAGACTCTTCTCTATAGTTAACCACCAAAAATCACATGGAGCTATGGCTCAGGAACCCTGGCGTTGAGCAAAAAAGCTCAGGGACGGTGCCCGGATCCTGAGTTCAAGGTCCAAAACTGGCGCGTGCACACACGCGCACGCACACACACACACACACACACATATGCATGTACACACATATGTCTCACAGATTTCCTGCCCAGGCTGGCTTAGAACTACAATCCTCAACAGCCACTTGGGTAGCTAGGATTACAGGTATGAGCCACTGGTGCCCCCACAACTTCTTTTAGCTTTAAACTAGTAAGAAGATAATTATGGCTGCCCAAACTGGCTGCTCAATAAACGGACAGAGACAACCACAAAATGAAAGTTACCCCCAGCCCGGATGCTGAGTATTGGGAAATAACCTGTGGCCTGAAAATTCTAACTAGTGTTTGTGCAAAGGTACAAAACAGGTAGACATTTATTTATTTATTTATTTATTTTTGGGTCCGGTTGTGGGGCTTGAACTCTGGGCCTGGGCGCTGTCTCTCAGCTCTTCAGCTCAAGGCTAGCGCTCTACCACTTGAGCCACAGCACCACCTTCGGCTTTTTTTCTTTTTGCTTATGTGGTGCTGAGGAATCGAACCCAGGGCCTCAGGCATGCAAGGCAAGCGCTCTACCACTGAGCCACTTTCCCAGCCCCAGGTAGACATTTAAATATAAGGTAGTGGAAGTGGCGCTGTAGCTCAAGTGGTAGAGCGCTCGCCTTGAGCTGAAGAGCTGAGGGACAGTGCCCAGGTCCAGAGTTCAAGCCCCACGACCGACAAAAAAAAATAAATAAATAAATATAAGGTAGTGTCAGGGGAAAGTAATCTACGAATATTAATTAGATAATTTAGTTTATTTTGGAGTGAATGCAACTACTTATATTTGGCAGGCATCTTAATGGTTCAAATTCCTTTCCTGCCCTCCTTCCTCCTTCCTTCCTTTCCTCCTTCCTTCCTTCCTTCTTTCCTTCCTTCCCCCCCACCTTTTTTTTTTTTTTTTGTGTGTCAGTACTGGGGCTTGAACTTGGGACCTGGGTGCTGTCCCTGAGCAGTTTTGCTTAAGGCTAGTACTCTCCCACTTGAGCCACAGTTTCACTTCCGGCTTTTTGTGAGATGACAGTCTCGTGGACTTTTCCTGCCCGGGCTGGCTTTGAACTGTGATTCTCAGATCTCAGCCTCCTGACCAGCTAGGATTACAGGCTTTGAGCCACTGGTACCTGGCACTAATATACATTTTTAAAGACCATACAGATATGTATAAAATAGCTGTTTATGAGACATATAAAGGTAAATGTGATCTTTGAGATGGATGCCAGAAATACAGCCATAAAAATAGCAGTAGTGTTGTTTCTCTTGCACTTTGGAAATCAAGCAAAAGGAAAGCGTTTTAGGGCATATTATGTTTGTTGACATAACTTGAACCCTGAAACCCAAACCATCCTATTCTAAAATGTTTAATTTGCCACACTCAACCCTTCCCCCACCCCAACAGAGTCATGGGCTCGGTCCAGAGGCCCCATGACTCTGTCTTTCTGTAGTTACGAGATACAGCTCTCTTGGCAGAAGCAAAGCTATTCAGCACAACATAAAAAAGCTCTTAGCAGAAAGGTCATTCATTTTGTAGTTAGCACAGTTTTACAAATACTAAATATCACAGTGAAGTTCTGTTTTAATAAGGCTGATGGATGAGACCTAGGGAGTTTCATAGCAGCAGCCATACATGCACACGCGTCTGCACATGTGCACAGCGCAACACACAGGAATATGTGTGTATGTTTTTCTAGTTGGCTGGTAGTCCTCTTTCTCCCATCATTCAGAAGCACATGGAAGTATGTACATACAGGAAATCTGATGTCAAGCGTAATTTGAGTGAAGGTGAGCGCTTTCATCCTGTGTTCTGTGCACACATTCCTGTTGCCTGCTGCTAGGCGTCCTGGACAGCGTTAGCCTGGTTGTTGGTAAAAGATGCAAGAGCTCAGAAAATCAAGCCTTTCATCCCCTCGTCCCTGCTCTCCCATCCTCCAACCTGTGAGGAAATCAGATTAAAATGTGAAGCCGCTTTCCAGTCGGCAGAGATGAGACTTGCTCGAGCCCACCCCCTCCCCCACCCCCCTACAAAGACATCTCATGTGCTGCTTTTTCCTGGAAAGGAACATCAAGCAAACCAGAAGGCTCATTTCCCCCAAAACATGGGGGGGGGGCGTGATAGACCCAGAGGAAGATTTTCTATTTTGGTTTTTGGTGTTTTTTTTTCCATTTTTAAAACAAACCATTGAAATAGAGGAGGGAGAGAAGAAGGTAGAAGAGGAGGAAGATCAATAAGAAGAAGGGAGGAGGGGGACAGGGGAGGAAAAGAGGGAAGGGTAGAGAAAGGAAGGAAGGGAAGGAAGGAGGGAGAGGAGGGAGGGAAGGAAGAGGGAGGGCAGAGGGAGAGAAAGCCAGCTCCTTTACTGACGAGCTTCCAATCTCCCACTTTGCAGAACTTCACAGCGCCTTCACTCCAGCCGCCCTCGGGGGAAGGGGCACGGACTTGTCTCACACCATGCTCATTTGTTTAATTTTTTTTTTTTTGGTCGGTCATGGGGCTTGAACTCTGGGCCTGGGCACTGTCCCTGTGCTCTTCAGCTCAAGGCGAGCGCTCTACTGCTTGAGCCATAGCACCACTTCCAGTTTTCTAGTGGTTTATTGGAGATAAGAGTCTCACGGATTTTCCTGCCCAGGCTGGCTTTGAACCGTAATCCTCAGAGCTCAGCCTCCTGAGTAGCTAGAATTACAGGTGTGAGCTGCCTGTGCCCGACACTCATTTGTTTACATTTTTAAGGCCTAACAAGAATGAGTTGACACTGAAGAAGGCGGAACTGGCCCTGAGAGGCTGGCTGGAGTCAGAAGGATAAAGTGGGAGGGAGATGTGATCTATTCTGAACAAAACGTGACTGGCACATCTGGGCAACTTGGCAAACGAGGGTGGGAGGAGTGGGAGACATGGCTCTGCAGTGCGGGCGGAGGCGGGGACCGGAGGGAAGGCCACAGGCGAGACACTCCCTCCGTGGGCAGGGCTGAGGACAGCTTCAGACCCAGCCCCAGGCACCTGGTACCCCGCACTGCCTTGTGTCTTCAAGTCTCTTTCCACACTGGGTTTAGGATTTGTTGTGTTGTTTTGTTTGTTTTGTTTTGGTCAGTCGTGGGGCTTGAACTCTGGGCCTGGACGCTGTCCCTCAGCTCTTCAGCTCAAGGCGAGCGCTCTACCACTTGAGCCACAGCACCACTTCGGGTTTTCTGGTGGTTTATTGGAGATAAGAATCTCATGGATTTTCCTACCGGAGCTGGCTTTGAACTGCGATCCTCTGATCTCAGTCTCCTGAGTAGCTAGGATGACAGGCATGAGCCACTTGCGCCAGGCTGGCTTTGGGGTTCGTAGTTGGAGTGAGCACTCCTGGAGCTCCCCTGAACACTGTCCTTGTCCGTTACCCCAGCCTTACTGATTGTAGCTCTCAAATGAGGGCTCATCACCCACCATTGCATAGGAGCCTGGTCTGGTGGTGGTATTGGTAGTTGTTGCTAGAACATTCTATGTCGCTGCCCATCATGAGGTGGGTAAGGGGCCTGGATCATCAGAAATCAGCCAGCATGTCCGTCTTCTCTCTCACACTATGTTTGAGAGAACCCCAGGAAGTGTCTGCAGGTCACGAATAAGACAGTGAGGGAGTCTGGTCAAGTGCCCATGCGGCTTCCCACCAAGCGAGCCGCATCCTCTCTGATCTTGAGGCCCCCATGGCGCCCCCAGCGGCCAGGTAGTGTCCACACGCACAGATAGCCACCTCAGGAAGCCATGATGGTGTCACAGGGCTGGCCAGGAGGGTCCCAAGCCCTCCCAGGGGGCCGTGCCGAGACCCCGGGCCGGCAGCCACCGTGAGCACAGGCATGCTGGACCGGGAAGGCCAAAGGCACACCTCTGGCCTGATGCGAGAGGCCCGGCTGCGGGCTGACAGAGAGAGGCCCCGTGGCGCAGGGGGAGTCCTTGTCCAGAGCAGCCCGGTGCCTGTGGGTCAGGGCTCGGGCTCTGAGTGACAAGGCCTTGAAGAGAGAGCAGGAGGGTCCTGGTGACCCAGCTCCCCGGAGCAGTCCCCTCCCACAGCGCGTGGTGAGGTGGGTACTGGACAGGTCAGGCGTGATCTCTCTCTCCCTCCCTGCCTGGGCTTGAACTCAGGACCTCGGTGCTGTCCCTTAGCTTTTTTCCCTCAAGGCTGGTGCTCTGCCACTTGCGTGACCGCTCCACTTCTGACTTTTTGCTGGTTAACTAGAGACAAGAGTCTCAAGGACTTCCTTACCCAGGTTGGCTTCGCACCTTGATTCTCAGATCTCAGCCTCCTGAGTAGCTAGGGTTACAGGCGGGAGCCACCAGCAACTGTCTTTGAGTCTCTCGGAAGTTGTCTTCTGTCCGAAGGACACAGCCCAGGCCCTGAGGTGGGACCCCCATCTCCAAGGCCCCTCCTCTGCTAAAGACTGTCTTGGTGCTGAGTCCCATGGTGTCTGTGGTTCAGAGTTCTATGTCTGGCAAAGCTGTGACCTGCGGTGGTGTGACCCCGCCCCGTGCCCGCCCTGGACGGATGGCACTGATGACTCTCTGGCCCCCTCCTCCCTCGGCAGGTGGAGCTCACTGGCAACAGCATCTATGAGTACATCCATCCTTCAGACCACGACGAGATGACGGCGGTCCTCACCGCCCACCCACCCCTCCACCACCACCTGCTCCCAGGTACCGCCCAGGCCCGAGGCGGCAGACCCACCGCAAGGCCGCCTTCTCCACGGTCACCCCGGAGCTGGCTGCCTGCACCTGCCCAGGAGCTCAGCAGTGCCTGGGGCAAACCGGCAGCACCCCCACCAAGGGGGATTTGTGTCTCCCCCTCCCTCCCCCCTCCCTCCCTCCCCCCTCCCTTTCCCTTCCCTCCCTTTCTTCCTTCTTCCCTTCTTTTCCCTTTGCTTCTTCCTAATGCCCTTCTTTACTCCCTTCCTTCCTTCTTCTTTCCTAATTCCTTCCTTCTTTGCTTCTGTCTCTCTCCTTTCCTTCCTTTTCTCCTATTTTTCTCCCTCTTTTTCTTTCATTCCATCCCACCACCCTCTCCCTTTGTCTCTGTTTCTGTGTCTGTCTCTGTCTCCCGGTCTCTCTGTCTCTGTCTCTCTCTCCCTCTCTCTCTCTCTGTCTCTCTCTGTCTCTCTCTCTGTCTGTCTCTGTCTCTGTCTCTGTCTGTCTCTGTCTCCCTCTCTCCCTCTCCCCCTCTCTCTCTGTCTCTCGCCCGGACCTTGTGCATGCCAGACTAGCACTCTACTTCAGGCTTCATGCCCAGATCATGCCTTTGTTTTCAGCCAATGATATTGAACCATCTGCACCAGTGACCGTGGAGACCAAAGCGTTCTCCACTCACGTGCTCTTTCCGCTGTAGGGCTTTCAAGGTGGAATCAGGAGTTCAGACCGGGCCTGCTCCCCCTGAGGACAGATCATGAGGAGGGGACAGGGCCGGGAAAGGTCATGGGGAAAATGACACCTAGATTTCCTCTAGATAAAATTTAGCCTCGCTTTGCTGGTGACTGTAGACTATAAACCGTGGCTCCTGTGGCTTTGCTAACTGCAGACATCACAGAGAGATTGCCTGATGACATTACAGATATTTAACCATATGCTTGGTGCTCTGGCTACTTCAAAAGTTTGAGAGTTATACCTGCTCCTGATTCTTGTTATGGAATGCAACGGCAAAGCAACACATTTGTGTTGAAATATATTGGTAACTATTTTCCATTGATTCCTTTTGTAATCTTATAAATTTTATGCATTTAGAAAGTATTGTGTGTCTGTGTGTGTGCGTGCACACACACACACACATTTGGTCAGTCTAGGGCTTAAACTCGGGGCCTGGGCACTGTCCCTGAACTTTTGTGCTAAAGGCTAGTGCCCTACCACTTGAACCACAGCTTCACTTCCAGCCTTTTGTGGTGAATTAGAGATACGAGTCTCACAGTCTCCGGAGGACCTAAGATTACAGGCGTGAGCCACGAGCACCCAGCAGGATCTAGGTTTTGTGCCATGACATAAATCAGTTCAAAAAAGCCCTGGACGTCACACAAATGAATCCTTAAATTACCATCTGCATGAGTGGTAGGGAGTTTCACGATGTATTCCAGCGGCCCTGCCCTTTTAACTCAGTCCAACAGCCCGAGAGCCCACCAGGCAGGCACGCCAGCTAATGGCCCTCATGTGTGCCTGGGCTGTGGAACGCAACTTGGCCGAAGTTACCAGTGGAACAAAATGCAAAAGAGGAGACATCAGGAGTCATGTGAAGAGGGTGCTTCTCTCCTGAGCAGGTTGTCCTAAGGCTACAGAAGGCACTCGCTTCTCAGACCCCTGACAGATGCAGCCCTGTGCCCCCTAAATCCTAGCTCCAGAAATAATCATGAGTCTGGTCTTTTCCAAGAGCCTCCTGAAACCAGATTCGGGCTGTTCTGTGATTTCTTACGTCCTTGGGAATGGCTTTTCTCCCTGGTGCCCTTTCCTTTCAAACATCATAGTCTCCAAACTTGTTTACAGAATGAACGCAGATGAATCTCAGAGCCCTGGGGAGACCTTTCCACCGCCTGTTCTCTGGGGTTCAAGTCTTAGTCACAGCATTAGAACAGAAGAAGCGCTGAGGTCTGGGAGCATTGACTCATTTCAATACCAGCCAAGGGAAGGATCAGAATTGGCAAGCCTTTCATTTCCTCTCTAACTAACTTCAAATTCGCAGAGCTCGTTTCCTGAGTCTAAAGTGATAAATGTGTGAGACAGAGGCTCTCCCTCCACATTTCCAGGCGACACCTTTGAGACCTGAGCTTCTACATGTTCCTTGCCTGGTTCAGGCAAGCAGCCATGTTGGAAGGAAGCCTTATGCCTGGAGCTCCCGACCGTGGGAGGCATGGCGGGTGAAAGCTGGCGGTCTCCGTAGGCAGTGAGGCAGGGAAAGGGGCCTCTGAGGCAGCTCCCCTCCTCGGCAGTGCCCTGACAGAGGGTAGAAGAGCTTGTTTCGTTCTTAGTGATGCTCTCATGTATTAGCCTATTAGCCTCCACCAAGTGCTGTTCACAAAGCATGCGGGCCTCGGGGTTCTGGTGTCCCTGCGTTTCCTTAGAGGACTCATTCTGCATTTGCAGCCATGCCCCCCAGAGATGGGGCGGGCTGTGCAGGAAAGGAATCAGAGCTTTGCCAAAGCCATGAGGCCAGGGCTGGGAATGGAAGCCAGAGCTTTGCTGGGAGTGAGCCACAGTTCAGCCAGCAGGAGGCTCGCGTGGCCGCAGGGATGCTTTTGCCAGGGCAAGGGCTGATGGGGACTGCTGCCCTGAAGGAGTCTGCACGCTTTCCTGAGCCCCAGTGCTGGCTCAGGTTCTGGAACCACCAAGTGGCTCTGAGGCCTCAAGAGGGGAGAGCATGGCAGGTAGAGCTCTACCATCTTCCTTCCTTCCTTCCTTCCTTCCTTCCTTCCTTCCTTCCTTCCTTCCTTCCTTCCTTCCATCCCTCCTTCCATCCCTCCCTTCCTCCTTCCCTCCTTCCTTCCCTCCTTCTTATCTTCCTTCCCAGGTTCTTTCCTCTTCTTCCCTCCCTCTCTCCCTCCTTCCGTCCCTCCCTCCCTTTCTTTCTTTCCTTTGTGTTGTGGTACTAGAGCTTGAACTCTGGGCCTGAATGCTGTCCCTAGCCTTTTCACTCAAGGCTGGCACCCTACCATTTGAGCCATAGCTCCATTTTGTGTTTTGTTTTGTTGTGGGGTATTTTGGTGGTTAACTGGAGATAAGAGTCTCATGGACGTTTCTGGCAGTGTGGGCCGATCCTCAGATCTCAGCCTCGTGAGTCGCTAGGATTATAGGAATGAGCCCCGGTGGCTGGCTCCAGGTTGACTCTTTCTAGGCTCTAGTCCCATCTTTCTCTGGAGGCCATACCAGTCAGGCATGGCTGCTCGGAGCCTGAGTCTGCTGGACCTGCCCTGAGAAGCCCTGCGTGGTGTTCGGTGGGAGCAGAGGGGGAGGCTAGCGGGACGGTGGCCGGTCTAACGTGTGCCTGCTTTCAGAGTATGAACTAGAGAGGTCCTTCTTTCTTCGCATGAAGTGTGTCTTGGCGAAAAGAAATGCAGGCCTGACGTGCAGCGGGTACAAGGTGCGTGGGACTCCCTGGCTGGGGTGTGTGTGTGTGACTGGAGGGGTCTCAGGTCAGTGGGAGGCTGCTGCTGTCCAGCACCTGGGCCTTGTGCTTTGCGTGTTGTCAGTGACCCTGGGGCCTCCTGACGTTCCACACTCCAGGGCTGCGGGGAGCGATCACTGAACCCGGCACCCAGGAGGGGACTCTCACGCTAAGGCTAGGCCCCCAGGGAAGCGTGCTCTGGGCATCACGCCAGTCATCGGGTCCTTAGCAGAGAGGTCAGGCGCAGGGAGCTGAGGGATGAGGGGAGCGCAGATCCCAGCCTGGCCCGCGCTCCTTCCCATCAGCCTGCTGCAGCCGCTCGCCCTGGGTGATTGGAGCAGCGAGGAGCAGGGCATGCCCTGGGGGCTGGCCGAGCTGCAGAGCTGCCTCGGCCCAGAAGCCACTGCTGTGGCCCGCAGCAGAGCCACCTCCTCCTTTTGTCCCCTTTATTCCCAGGAGGAATAAAGATGCCGTGAAAGGGAGCACCTTGATGCCTTTGGCCTCTTTCTGGAATGTTCCTCCCAGCCTAGGGGCCCCTTTGCCCCAGCTTCTTCTCGGCTTTTATTTCAACCCCATAGTGTACGTAGTATATGTGACATGCAGTGACTGCATTTTTTTGTCAGTCATGGGGCTTGAACTCTGGGCCTGGGCGCTGTCCCCGAGCTCTTCAGCTCAAGGCGAGCGCTCTACCACTTGAGCCACAGCGCCACTTCCTGTTTTCTAGTGGTTTATTGGAGATAGGAGTCTCACGGACTCTCCTGCCCTGGCTGGCTTTGAACCTCAATCCTCAGATCTCAGCCTCCTGAGTAGCTAGGATTACAGGCATGAGCCACTGGCACATTTTTAAAAAGAATAGGAAAGTTGGGGCGTCGCTGTTCACCACTAGCATTAGAGGGGCACGGTCTTTCTGACTTCCACTGATGTAAATGCTTCCAGTCTCTCACTTCTGTGGAGCAGGTGTTTCTGGGGCCCCGGAGCCACACTCCCAGCCCGGGCACAGAGTGTCCGATGGAGCTGGAGCGTTGTACATGCACATTCTCCTTCCCCCACCACCACCACCCCCGCTTCTGAGTTTTTGTTTTGTTTCTGTGCTGCTACTGGGGCTGGAACTCAAGACCCAGGGTACTCTTGCTTGGCTTTTTCACTCAAAGATGGTCCTCTACCACTTGAGCCACAGTTCCACTTCTGGCTTCTTGGTGGTTTAGTAGAGAGAAGAGTCTCACAGACTTCCCTGCCTGGGTTGGCTTTGAAAGGTGATCCTCAGATCTCAGCAGCTGGGATTCCAGGTGTGAGCCACAGGCTCCAGGTTGACACAACTTGGTTTCTGCTGAGCAGTGGCTTGTTTGGCTTGTATGGCTCCGTCAGAGCTGGGCTGGGGAATCAGCACCCCAGCACCGTGGAAGGCGGGGAGAGGGGGGGGCAGGGGAGGGGCCTGGGGAGGAGCCAAGTGCTGCCCCCCCATGACATCCCCCCGCCCCTACCCCCAGGTCATCCACTGCAGCGGCTACCTGAAGATCAGGCAGTACATGCTGGACATGGCCTTGTACGACTCCTGCTACCAGATTGTGGGGCTGGTGGCCGTGGGCCAGTCGCTGCCGCCCAGCGCCATCACCGAGATCAAGCTGTACAGCAACATGTTCATGTTCAGAGCCAGCCTCGACCTGAAGCTCATCTTCCTGGATTCAAGGTGAGTCCCCAACCTGCCGCCACCCCCGACGCCCGTGGCGGGCACTGGCCCCGAGGGCAGCGTGCGCGGAGCCACGCCAGCACCGAGGGCCGGCCGGAGACCTGCGAGAGAGCCGAGTCCAGCCACTCGGTGCCTGCTCTCAGTGAACTAACACATCGCATGGAGGCTGAGTCACCTCCCTGGGGTCGCCGTGCAAATATGTGGCAGAGCACAAGTTTTCTTTCTTTTCCTTCTCACTTTTTCTTTTTCCTTTCCTTCTTTTTCTCTTTCTTCCTTCTTTTCCCTCCCTCCCTCCCTTCCTTCTTCCCTCCCTCCCTTCCTCCCTCCCTCTCTCCTTCCTTCCTTCCTTCCCCCCTCCCCCACTCTTTCTTATTGTGCCAGTACTTGGGCTCGAACTCAAAGCCTGAGCATTCTCCCTTAGCCTCTTCACTCAAGGCTGACACTTGAGTGAAAATCAGAGGTAGGACTCTCATGGTCTTTCCTGGCTGGCTGGCTTCAAACCCTGGTCCTCTCCACCTCCTGAGTAGCTGGGATTATAGGCTGGAGCCAGCAGCGCCTGGCTGGTTGATACCCTCAGGAGGGAGGGAGGCGAGCAGGCTGGGTCAGCACTGCTTAATGAGTGGAAGAGAAGGAAACTTCCTAGTGCTTCTGGCCCTGCAGTCTTTTGTGCTGAGTATTGGGACACTTCTAGCAACATCTGTTGGCCAATCTCACAGGAGGGACTGAGGAGGGTGGCCAGATGTGTGCCAGGGAGCCCTGCGCTGCCACCACAGGCTTTGTCCTGCTGCTGCTCTGTGGTCTTTGCCGCGGGGGGAGGGGGAGGGGGCTGGTCAGGCCCTGGGAGGTCAGCAGGGGCCGGATCAGTGCAGAGAGGTGGCTGTCTGTATCCACATATCAAAAGCCACCATGGAGGTGGGGCCAGAGGTCCAGAGCCCCAAGTCTCAGGAGTGAGGAGAGGAGCTTTAGAGGCGGACACTGTACCCCCAGCATGTTCCAGATCGGCTGCACTCCCATAACCTGACCTGGGGGCCTCGGGGCGTTCCCTGGGAAGCTGTAGCTGGTGCCATTGCAAATATGAGTAAGCCTGTGATTGGGGATTTGGCAGACCAGGCAGGGCTTGGGCTTGGGGTCTTCAGACTCCAGAGAGCATCCTGCCAAGCGCTTCCCTGACCCTGTAATTGTGTCCTCTGATGAGAAAGTGAATGGCTGCGCTTCTGATGTGGGTAGGCATCGGAGCACACAGAAGCACGTGTCACCAAACAGGACTCCGCAGCTCTCAGTGGGTTATGACCCCACACCAGGCAGAACGCAAGTGAGAGGCGATGAGAGGCCGCGGTTCACATCCCGGTGAGGCGGTTTCCTGGCTCAATCCCAGCTCACATTTCCTATCCGGGAGGCCAGGGCCCTGGTCCCCATCTCCTCCCCGCCCCCCAGCTGCCCCCCAGAGCTGACTTTTCCTTAGTCCTCACCTCCTTTGGAGTCTCTTGTCCCTCTCCATCTGTCCAGAATGCCATCACCAAGACAGTTAAGACGCTTCTCCTGTCCTGAGCCTGGGAAAGGAAGCCCTTGTCATATGCACAGAGCACACACCAGGGCCAGGGCCAGTGGGCGGGGCCAGGGCCAGTGGGCGGGGCGTTCAAGGGCTAAAGTGTGACTTGAATGAGGAAGAAGAGGGGTCCTGCCTCAGAAACGCCAGCAAAAGCTTCCGCTTTCCGGAGCTGGCGGCCTGCCTCCCACACAGCACTCACTCGAGGTTGGCATTCCAGGGTCTGGGCTCTCCCATAATCCCCCTAACATGAGGATTAAGCCTGTCCACTCCCCCCCCCCCCCAGTTCTTATCAGGAGAGACCAGCCAGCTGGAGAGGCCAGAGGCCAACTGTGCTGATGAGCAGCGTCCAGTGTAAGTTGGTGCCTGTGGCTCACGCCTGTAAGCCTAGCTACTCTGGAGGCTGAGATCTGAGCCATTGTGGTTCAAAGCCAGCCTGGGAAAAAAAGTCTGTGAGATTTATCTCCAGTTAATGAACAAAAAATTGGACATAGAGGTATGGCACAAGTGGTAGAGTGCCAGCCTTGAACAAAAAGCTACTTGAAAGCCTGAGACCCTGGGTTCAAGCCCCTGTACTGGTACAGAAATGCACCAACAACACTGTTTAGTATAGAGTAGGGATGGAAACATCCATACGTACACTAGCCAGCAGGTAGCAACAAACCCAGGTGCCTATCAAGAGGTGAGTGAACAAACAGCACACGAGAGGGGGATAGAATATTATTCAGCCATGAAAAGAATGACATCTGACACGTTACAACGAGAACGGACCGGAGGCGAGGTCAGGGAAGAAGAGCCTCTGCTGGGCAGACCAGCCCACCGCTCGCAGCCCGCTTCAAATCCACCAGGCGCTGGCTGGTGGGAGGAGCAAAGGGGAGATAGGGGCAGCACAAAGCCACGAGCTAAGAGGCAAACAACCATTTTTTGGGTCTTGCTGCTCGTTCTTCTGAGTGGCCTTCACTTTCTCTTTGTCAGGTAAAATCTTTGCTACTGTATTATAACAGTGCTGCCGTTCCCACCTTTATTGCTAGGCTGTGGAGAAGAAAAATCTTCCACAGCGGGCATCAGAAGATAGGTCTCAGAGGCCTTGTGCTGTGTCCTTCTACTTCGGGGACGCATCTAGAGTAGACAAATGGGACAGAAGTTGAAGGGAGGAACTCCAGGCACTGGTGGCTCATGCCTAGAACCCTGGCAGTTCAGGAGGCTGAGGTCAGAGGATCCTAGTTGGAAGCCAGCAAAGTCCCCAAGACTCTTATTTCCAATTAGCCTCTAAGACGCCAGAGTGGAACTGTAGCTCGAGTGGTAGAATGTCATCTTTGAGTGAATGAGCTGAGGGGACAGGTTCTAAGTTCAAGCCCCAATACTGGCAGAAGAAAAAAAGGGGGGTGGACTGACTAGAGGAGACCAGGGACAGGGAGGGGAGCCAAGGAGCCAGGACTCCCGGGGAAGCATTGCTCGGTGTGTGATGGCAGCGTTGGCATCACCAAAGTGGTCAGGGTGCTGGTCGCACAATCACAAGAATGTCGTTCAGACTACTGACTTTTACAGCTAAAATGTACAAAGTTTTAGCAGAGTAAAAAACTGAGGCTCACATAGGACTGTTGCTGCGGCGCTCCTGTAAGTTCTTGCTCACGGTGACAGCTCGGCCCAGTGTGGAATCAGAGTTCGAGCCTAAGGGAGCTCAGAGAAGCTGACCCGCTCCTGCCATCCCACACGGGCTTCCAGCCAGCGCGGTGGCGAATTCCCGCGCGCACAGCGCTCCATCCTGCCCGGGGCCAGAGTTCAAAGACTTGCTTCTTATTAAAAAAAAAAAAAAGACCATGTCTCAGTTTCCAAAATCAACAGCTCCCGCCCCCCGCCCCCAGCCATGAGTCTTTTAGCACTTGATTAGTTGGCAAAACCAATATTAGTTTAAATGAAAGACAGATCTACCCAGTGGCGTGACTCTCGGAGCGGCCTCCTCCCACAGGGTGACCGAGCTGACGGGCTACGAGCCGCAGGACCTCATCGAGAAGACGCTGTACCACCACGTGCACGGCTGCGACACCTTCCACCTCCGCTACGCACACCACCTCCGTGAGTAGCAGCTTCCGGGCGGGGGAGGGGAGGCAGTGGGGGACCAGGAGCAGACCCAGCCCTTGCTTGGTGCCATCTTTGTGCAGATGTATGTATGAATCGGACAGACCAGTGTGACCTTCTCTCCTCTGGAGCAGCAGCCTTCCCTTTCCCCCATCCCCATTGGCAGATTCTCCAGCGCCTGTGGGCAGCTGCTCAGTAGAACTGGCAGGGATGGTTGCTGTGGCATTGGTCCAGTTGGAGACCGAGGATCGGGAGCACTGGCTGTTGTAGAAAAGCTGTCATCCTTTGCAATAGCATCAGACACTCGTGGAGCCCTTCCTAGATTATCAACCCGGGAGGACGGCTCTCGCGCGCAGCATCTTAGTTTTACCCCCCCCCAGGGTGATGAGGTGCAGAGGGTAGAGCCTTGTGCCCAAGGTCGCCAGCTGGAGGGGGCAGAGCAGAGCCGCTGAGCTCCGCCCTGCTGGGCGTTCAGGGGAGGCCGCATGGCTCCCCAAAAGAAGATGTAGCTGTTTGGAACCATCTGGACGTGCGGCGGGTGCTCTGACACCTCGGTGTTCACAGAAGCGAGGGTTTTCTTCTAGAATCCAAATGGAGGCCAAGAATAATTGGGTGGATTGGAATGCCCCCTCCTCCTGCCATCCTGCCCGGCCAGGCCCAGGGTGCTGCTTAATGGGGTACTGCTTAATGGGGTACTGCTTAATGGGGTGCAGATGGTCAGAAGATCTGGGGCTCCAAGGGGGCCCGCATGGCGTGTTCCCATACTGCCTTTGGTCAGCGTCTCAGGTGATCGTGGGCTTAGTTGTTGTCCTGGCTTTTGTGTGGACCCCAGACCCCAGAACATGGTATTATCCCCTAAGTCACCATGGGCAGAACCCCACAACAACCAGGACTTGGGGTGAATGGACATCTGGCCCCTGGACACAGAGTTCATTTTTTTCTTCAGATGGCCAGATCATGGCCTCCTACACCCATGATTGTCCAGAGCGGGCTTGCTCCGGGAAGCGGTGGTCATTCACCCTGTCAGGGGACCTGGAAGCCCTCTTTAGCAGCAGGAAGAGGGTGTCACGTAGACAGTTGGGTATTTGGAAGACCTGAGTGGGTAGGTGTTGAGGGGAGAGGGGACAAAGGAGGTGCTCTGCAGCCCGAGGGGACTTATGTAGAAGTGACTGAAGCTGGCACCTGCGGCTCCCTCAGGCTGAGACTGAGGACCAAGGTTCGAAGCCAGCCTGGCATCAGAAGGTTTGTGACACTCTTCAATTAACCACCAGAAGAGGGGAAGTGGAGCTGTGGTGCAAGTAGTACAGTGCCAACCCGGAGCAGAAAAAGCTCTGGGACCACTCCTGGGCCCTGAGATGAAGCCTAGGCCTGGTGCGTGCACATGCGTGTACACACACACACACACACACACACACACACACACTCTGACTGAAATAGGGGGAGTGGAGTAGGACCTGAGCCAGGGATGAGGGGGGCACCCCCCCAAGTTCACTTCCAAGGAGTATGTGGAGCTCCTGCAGCCTTCATCGGGAGGGAGCAGGTGCAGCGGCAGCGGGCAGCTCTGCGCAGCCTCTCCTCCTCCCCTCCCCGCCTCTGCCCGACTCTGCCGCTGAGGCCAACGTCCAGGTGGGGCAGGGCTGCCTCCCGGAGGCCGGTCTCCTTGTTGTGGACAGTGGCCTCTCTTCACTGGGTCTGGTCCTCGTCTCCCCTTCTTTGTCTTCTTTTTTTGTTGGTGTTTGTGGGGCTTGAATTCAGGGCCGAGTGGGCCCTGTCTCTGAGCTCTTTTGCTCAAGGCTAGCACACTACCACTTTGAGCCAATTTTTGAGTAATTAATTAGAGATAAGAGTCTCACAGGGACTTTTCTACCCAGGCTGGCTTCACACTGAGATCCTCAGCTCTCAGCCTCCTGAGTAGCTAGGATACAGGCATGAGCCACTGGTGCCTGTCCCTGACCTCCTCTTCTTTTTTTTTTTTTAATTTTATTTTATTTGTGAACATACTGTACAGAGGGGTTACAATTACATGGGCAAGATAATGCATACATTTCTTACCAAGCATTGCAGCCTCCTCCTTTGTTTACCCTTCACCTCCCTTCCCAGCCTCCCCCCTCCCCCCCCACCCAATCCTTCCCCTCCTCCCCCCCAACCAACATTGTAAAGCTCATTTTTGACATGACAATTTGCACTTCTCATTGTTGCAACAGGTCCACCTGAATCCTTAAACGACTTGTTTTTCCCCATCTCCTCCACAAGTTATACTGACATCAAATATATTGAAAGCGGGGGTTATACTGTGGGGGAGGCCTGACCTCCTCTTCTTATAGAGAAGGTGACTCCTATCACCTAAGCACCTCTGGAAGGCCCTGTCTCCTGCAGTGGCCTCCTGAGGGAGAAGGGAGGGCCTGAAGGAATGAATTGGTCATAAGGGTGGACTTTGACTCCTGTGTCCTCTCTCTTTTATGTTCTGATGGGAGAGGCTAGCTTGAGGAGACAGGCGGCAAGTCTGAGAAGTTGTGTGTGCACTGTTTTGCGTGTGCGTGTGTGTGTGTGTGTGTGTGTGTGTGTATCCCTCCTGAGGCTTGAACTCACTTCCAGCTTTTTGATGATTAATTGGAAATTAGGATGTACTTACATTCCTTTTGTTGTTGGTCGTGGGGTTTGAACTCAGGGCCTGGGCTGTCTCTGAACTTTATCACTCAGGCTAGCTAGCATTCTACCACTTATGCCACAGCACCTTTCTGGCTTTTCAGTGGTGAATTTGAGATAAGAGTATCAGGGACTTTTCCTGCCCTGGCAGGCTTTGAACTGTGATCCTCAGAGCTCAGCCTCTGAAGGAGCTAAGATGACAGGCGTGAGCCAGCAGCGCCCAGCAGAACTTCCTCCTTAACCAGCTAGTCCGTGCCTCACGGGTCCCTGCAGTGCACATCGGCGCGTGGCTCGCGTGAGTTGCTCCTTGCGGCGAGAGCTGGGTCCATGGCCAGGACCAACTGACCTGACCTAGAATTTCTGTACCAAAGTGACCTTGGAAAACCAGGCTGGCTGGGCACGGATGGCTCACACACACCTATGTTCCCAACTATGGTGAAGGCTGAACGCTAAGGACTATGGTTCAAAGCCAGCCCAGGGAGGAAAGTCTGTGAGACTCTTATCTGTAGTTAACCAGCAAAAAGCCAGAAGTAGAGCGGTGGCTCAAGTGTGAGCCTTGAGTGGAAAAGCTCAGGGTCAGTGACGGCAGCGCCTAGGCCTTGAGTTCAAGCCCTGGGACCAGCAAAATTAAAAAAAAAAGGAAAGCCAGAATGTCTGGCTTTCATCTAAAGCACAAACCACCCCAAACCCAGAACCCTCGTAGGCCATGGTGCTTGACATACCAAGGCAGACAGGAACGCGGTGCAGGGCCTCTGCTTGTGGGGGCTCACGGCTCAGGGGACCCCTGGCCCGTTATGGCTCTCTAGCCTGGGATCATTTGGGGCAGTTAATGAAGGGGGATAGGAGGAAGGACCTCATGACTAAGCCAGGGGGAGGGGCAGTCTTTGCAAACACAGACCACAGGCTGAGGCCAGACAAAGACACTGCAGTCTTGCTTTGCATTCAGAAGGGGGATGGTGGGTGAGACTTCCCGGCTTGGCAGTAGGGAAGGGAGCTACAAATTATGGAGTACGATGCAGCCACTAAAATGATGGCCAATTGGAATTTATAACATTATGGGAAATGCCTATGATACGATGTGAAGAAAAGACAAAAGGCCTAAATAGAGAAGAACCCTAATTGTGAAAAAATGGGCACACCATAAACACACGCACGTGTGCGCACACGCGTGTGTACACACACACACGCAGACATGCTTCCATCTCCACGCACGGATCTCAGTGCTGGGTGTGTGGCTCCGCGGTAGAACACTTGCCTAGCAACTGTGTGAGGCACTGAGTTCAAACCCCAGAATGTAGGACAGGAGACACAGCCCTGAGCGCCTTCACTCAGCTTTGTCCCCTACTCTAGGCCCCCTGCCTGCCAACCTGACACCTGTGAGGGGGTCATGGCTTTGGGCATGCTGAGGCTTTGGGGATGCTGCTCAGTAGCCCCAGGTTTGTCCTGTGCATAGACCATGAGCTCCTGCCCCAGGTTTCACGAACTGTGTCCTGGAGCCATGCTGTAAAAGAGCTGCAGAGGAGGTGGTCAGAGGCCAGGGGGTGATGGGGAAGAAAAGAATCCAACTCTCCATTGACTTTTTATTTTGTTTCTCTCTCCCTTCCCCTCTCCCTTCCTTTCCCTTCTCCGAGATCAGGACTCAAACTCGGTATCTGATGCTTTTGTTCATTTGCTGGTGCTCCACCACCTAAGCCATGCTTCCAACTCTATTTTTTTGTCAGTAGTGGGTCTTGAACTCTGGGCTTGTCCCTGAGCTCTTCAGCTCAAGGCGAGTGCTCTACCACATGAACCATGGCACCACTTAGGTTTTCTGGTAAGGTCATTGGAGAGAAGAGTCTCACAGACTTTCCTGCCTGGGGTTGGCTTTGAACCATGATCCTCAGATCTCAGCCTCCTGAGTAGCTAGGATGACAGGTGGGAGCCACCAGCGCCTGGTCTAGGTTCCTCACTCTTAGCATTTTGGATACTAGAAAGCAAATCAGAGTTCTTAATGCGAGAGGTTGTTCCACGGATGAATGTGTGTGTGTGTGAGGTTGTTCCACGGATGAGTGTGTGTGTGTGTGTGTGTCTGAGGGAGAGCGAGAGTACGCGTGCATGTAGGCTTCCCTCCTCTGTCGGCCCTCCCAGGGCCTCACCTGTGTCACCTTGTGTTTGCAGTGCTGGTGAAGGGCCAGGTCACCACCAAGTACTACCGGCTGCTGTCCAAGCTGGGCGGCTGGGTGTGGGTGCAGAGCTACGCCACGGTGGTGCACAACAGCCGCTCGTCCCGCCCCCACTGCATCGTGAGTGTCAATTATGTCCTCACGTAAGTCAGCCCTATTTGTTTCTCTCCTGCTCTCTCCTCCCGTCTGTCCCTCATCCCATCGCCTGAGCAGCACCATGTCCCCATCACGCTCCCTCGCTCGCTTTCTCTCTTTCTGAAACTGTTCATTTGTCTCCTTGTTTGGTTTTGTTGGATCAACCCAGCAGCTGGGGAAGGTCCTATTGTTGATGTGCAGTGATGATGGCCAGAGTACTGGGCAGAGCGGGGACGGGACAGAGCTGAGGCCTGGCGTGGCTCACGTCCCAGCACAGAGCCCAGGCCAGGGCATGGAGGGCACAGCCCTGTCTCCACAGGTCCCCCAATCAGGGATAAAACCTGGGCTCTCGTGGCCACAAGCCCGTGGGTCACCTTGAACACTGCCTACCATTTCCCCCCATCTTCCTGTATCACTTGATGCAAATGACAGCAAGTATGTGACTCTCTAAATCCCACTCCTGGGGTTTTCAAGTCCATGTTTTCAAGTCCATTTTCTTTCTTTTTAAAACAAGCCCTTGTTGTATAGCCGGGGTGGCCTTGAGCATCCTGAGTGCCGGTATTTCAGGCATCCACCGCTGTACCTGGCTCAGGTGCAGATTCTTCGAAGGCCACCAGAAACAACAGGACTGAGACTTTCCCAAGAATGTATATTCCATTTCCATACACATTAACTTCCGCAGGAAACCACCGGCCCCCCGGCTGTGGCCCCAGTGAGGATTTGGGCTCTGGGTTCTTTCGATCGCTACAAGTTTTGGAAGTTATTTTGGTAAAATCTTTCCAGGAGACTAGCTCCTTGATTACTTCTGGACAATTAGGCGTCTTGGCCTTGTGGGTGATTCTCCTTCCATGAAGACTTTGCTGACTTGGCTTGTCCAGACAGAGATGCTCCCCAAAATGACCCTTGGGGGGGATGGAAGCTAGGCTGACCCCGGCAGCTGGCCGCACTCCATGCTCCGGGGGTGTTGTGCAGGGAACAGCGAGGCTCCGCATACACAAACTGCCCGAGGGGCGCTCAGTGGATGGCGTTTCTGCTCTTTAGGCTGGTCAGCCTTGCCAGGCTGTCTGGGAGGTGCCTTGGGGCTGGATGAGGTGGCACAAAGCCGTGCCCACCTCCTGCTGTCCACACCAGACTGTGCCCACTGTGGGTGTGCGTGGGCGGGGCCTAGGCTGCAGCCAGGAAAGCCAGGCTTCGGGAACCCTTGCCCGCCCCCTGACTCCCGCTCTCGCTTTCCAGGGATGTTGAATACAAGGAACTTCACCTGTCGCTGGACCAGGTGTCCACTTTGAAGCCCCAGGACTCGTGGCGGACTGCCTTGCCTACCTCACAAGAAGCCAGGAAATTAGCGAAACCCAAAAGTACAAAGATGAAGACAAAGCTGAGAACAAACCCTTACCCCCCACAGGTAACAAGCCTGCTCTGCAGCGGGGGGGTGGGGGGGGGTGGTGGTGGCATCTGTTCCCGGGGAACCCCAGGACACCTGGCCCTATTAGGAACGGTGACTCAGATACTCAGCGGGGGTGTCCTGGCTATGAAAATAATAGCAAATAAATGAATCAATAAGAAAAATATTGGGCACTGGTGATTTACACATATCCTAGCTACTCAGGAGGCTGAGACCTAGAGGATGGAGGTGTGAGGCAGCCTGGGCAGAAAAACACATGACTCCTATTAACCAGCAAAAAAGCTAGGCTAGTTGTATGGTTCAAGTGGTAGAGCACCAACTATTAGCCAAGCAAGAACACGGTCATGAGTTCAATCCCTGATAATTGTGTATGTGCATGCACACAAATAAGAACAAAGTATATAAATGTATATAAATAAATGTATATGTATATATATTCTTTTTTCCTCCCTCCCTCCGTCCCTCCCTCCCTCGCTTCCTTCCCTCCTTTCTTCCTTCTGGGCTGACAATGTAGTTTAGTGGTAGAGTGCTTGCCTAGCATGCATGAAGCCCTTGGTTCAATTCCTCAACACCACATAAACAGAAAAGGCCGGAAGTAGCACTGTGGCTCAAGTGATAGAGTGCTAGCCTTGAGCAAAATTAGCTCAGGGACAGAGCCCAGCCCTGAGTTCAAGCCCCAGAACTGGCAAGAAAAAAGAAAAAAAGCTTCCTTCCTTCCTCCTTCCTCCCTCCTTCCTCCTTCCTTTCTTCCTTCTTTCCTTCCTTCCTTTCTCCCTTCCTTCCTTTCTCCTTCCTTCCTTTCCTCCTTTCCTCCTTTTCTTCCTTTAAAATGAAAACACAGCCAGTCACCAGTGGCTCCTTCCTATAATCCTAGCTACTCCGGAAGTGCGATCTGAGGATTATAGTTAAAAGCCAGCCTGGGCAGGAAAGTCTATAAGACTCTTATCTCTAATTAACCACTAATAAGCCGAAGGTGGAGTTGTGGATCACAAGTGGTAGAGTTCCAGCCTTGAGCAAAAAACCTAAGGGATTGTGCGGAGGCCCTGAGTTCAAACCCCAGTATTGGCTCAAAGAAAAGATGAAAACTTTCCTTTAAAAAATGCTGTTTTTGTAAGTGGCCGCGGGAGCCGTGGGGTCCCTGAGCGCGGGGTGTGCGGTCGGCTCAGGGGGATGAGCTTTGCCCCTGGCGCCGGCACAGGTGCAGCCCAGCCAGGGCGGGGCCCAGCCTGGTGAGATGGGCCTTGCGCGGCCCATGGCCACTCACCCCGCACCCGCATTGTCTCCCTTGCCACACAGCAGTACGGCTCGTTCCAAATGGACAAACTGGAATGCGGCCAGCTGGGAGACTGGAGGGCGAGCCCCCCTGCCCATGCCGGGGCCCCCCCAGAACAGCAGCCCTATTCAGAAGGCGGGGATCTCCTGTACGCGCCGTCCTACAGTCTGCCCTTCTCCTACCATTACGGACCCTTCTCTCTGGACTCGCACGTCTTCAGCAGCAAAAAGCCGGTGCTGCCGGCCAAGTTCGGGCAGCCCCAGGGATCCCCGTGCGACGTGGCCCGCTTCCTCCTCAGCACGCTGCCCGCCGGTGGCGAGTGCCAGTGGCACTATGCCAACCCCCTAGTGCCTAGCAGCCCATCCCCAGCTAAACACCTGCCCGAGCCGCCTGTGAACGCAGCCCGGCACAGCCTCGTGCCCAGCTACGAAGGTGAGTCCTGTTGCCGCCACCCCACCCCCGCTCCTCGGGGAGCCAGAGGGGGACCGGGCCCTCAGGACAGGGCTGGGGCTGCTGGGAAAGGAGTCCTCACACGCTGGGCAAATTCCCTGCTTCCGAGCTTTCCTCGCATCCTGCACGAGAGGGAGGACTGGGTGGCGGCCACACGTGTCTCAGACAAGGGAGGAGGAGAACCCGAGTGTCCATCCTCCTGTGACCCCGACCCCATCCACTCTCCAGAAAGGAAACAGTGGCTGTCGCAACCAGCCCTGTCCTCCGAAGCCCGGCCACCCAGTTACATGTCTTTTACTCTGTCCCAAAGTGAAGATAAGAGGCCACGGCTTTGGGTGGGCGCTCGAGGCTCACGCCTTTAACTCTGGCTACTCGGGTGCCTCGGATCTGCGGATCACCGTGTGATGCCAGCTGGCAGAAACATTCAGGAGACTCTTATCTCTAGTTAACCAAAATGCCTGAAGTGGAGGTTTGACTCAAGTTATAGAGCACCAGTCTTGAGTGAAAAAGCTAAGAACCCAAGGCTCTGAGTTCAAACCCCAATACACACACATGCACACACACACATTAATAACAACAGTACTAATGAGGATAATGATAATAATACAAAAATAAAAAGAGCCAGACAGCAAAGTCCATGAGTCTCTTATCTCCAGTTGACGACCAAAAACCTGGAAGTGGAACTCTGATCAAAGTGGTTGAGCTCTGGCCTTGAGCAAAAAGCAGCTTAGAGACAGTGCCCAGGCCCTGAATTCAAGCCCCAGAAAACCAGACTGGGAATACATGGGCTCAGGGAGAGAAATGCCACTCACCAATGCATGACAAAAACCCAAGATAAACCAGGTGTTGGTAGCTCACACCTGTAATCATGGTACTCAGGAGGCTGAAATCTGAGGATCACTGCTCAAAAGCCCAGTTAGAGAAGTCCTTGGGATTCTTAACTCCAATTAATCACCAGAAACAAACAAACTGGAAGTGATGCTGTGGTTCAAAGATGGTAGAGCACTACCTTGAGCAAAAGAGCTCAGGGACAGGTCTGAAGTTCAAGCCCCACAGCTGACAAAAGCAAAACCAAAAAACCCAGGCATCGTTTCTCTCCATGTGTGGAAGGGAGTGTGGCCGCGCAGTGTGGCCTCCCTGGCCTCAGTGTCACTGTGCGTGACGTCAGGCTGGGCCCGCCGCTGCCCAGGCCAGCCTCACTCTGCTGCCCACTGGCCCACTCCTGGCAGAGGACAGGGGACAATTTTTAGCTGTAGTAAGGCTTGCTTTGTCCAGACCAGACCACACCGAGCAATTGCTCTACAGGTGCCACTAATGTGATTGTAAGGGTCCAGCCAGGACAGCGGGCCCCAGAGACGTCACACCAGAAGCTCACTTAAGGGAGGACTAAGAAGAGAACTTCCTGGAGAGTTTGTCCTGTCTGTCATTCTCTCTGAAGTGTGTAGGGCTCAGCTTTCTAAGCGAATCCCGGGCATTGCTGTTCCACATTGTAACCAGTCTTCAGGGCTGGGACTCCTGTTATCTCCAAATCTGACAAGATGGACAGTCATTGCTGAAGTCTAACCCTGGTGAAGAGGACATACTTTCCCAAAGATTTGGCCAACACCACACCAGCTTGTCACCAACCCATACCAGGAGCCAGTGACATGGCCCTCAGAATCCCTGATACCCACAGGGGCGGGCTGCTGGCCCACAGAGAGGGGAGAGCACAGGCCAAGGGTCCTGACCACAGTGTCTCAGTGTTTATTCCACGTGCATGCCAAGTGTCCCTAGTGGATGCATGTGTGCACATTTGCTCTGGTGCTAAGGACTGACCTCGGCCTGGACACTGTGAGCTTTTTCCATTCAAGTCGGGCGCTCTACACTTGAGCCACAGCTCCATTTCCAGCTTTTTGGAGGTGTGTGGTTCGAGTTAAGAATCTCAGGAAGGTTGGAGGTGTGGCTCAATTGTGGAACGCTAGCCAAGGAGTGGAAAGCAGTAGGTACTGGGTTCAAATCTCCATCACACCCAACCACTCATGGATGTTCCTGCCCAGGCTGGCTTTGAGCCACCATCCTCAGATCTCATCCTCCGGAGTAGCTGGAATTACAAGCGTGAGCCTCCTGCGCCCGGCTTCATCTATGGCCCCAGAGACATTTCTACCTGCCTCTTGCCACTGCGGCCAGAACAAGCCTGGGGAAGGGCGAAGGCGGTGGGTGGGCTGACCGCGGGACAGGGCAGGGGGCGCGGGTGGGCTGATGGCGGGGCGCAGGGGGCGTGGGTGGGCTGATCTCGGGGAGCAGTGGGTTGTTCTGGAGCGCAGGGGGGCGCGGGTGGGCCGATC